CTTCTACATTCTGATTTCCTTAATTCTCTAGGGCCAAATCTTGATGATAAAACTTTCCAAACCATATCAACTTCAACTCTTCCATTAAACCCGTGGTCCAACCATCGATCAACAACAGGATCATCCACATCATTACCTCGAACATCTTCATCCATGATACAACCTAAAAGACGTATCTCACGTTGTGATGGTCTATGCAGTCAAGATACTTTTAAATGAATATAGGACAATATAATGTCAAACCAACACCAAGAATTCAAAAAATGAATATGGTAAGTAATTTCAATATGATGATTATTTCTAACCTTAGTTGTACTAAGTTGGTCTTAAATTTCCTTCAATGAAAAGACTTACATTTTACTTGGTTTCAATTTTATCTTGCACATTTGAGGACAATGACGGTGTGCATGTGCATTACTAACACATTCTCAAAAATCTTCCTTCACAATAGAAATTGCCTCAAAGCAAGAACCTACACACAATACAAATTCATTTAAAATTCAATAGCAAGAACCCTAGCAGTGATTACATTTAAACATGGAATTGGCAGCCTTAATTTTGGTTCGATGCCGGCAAGATCAGCAATTCACTACAACAAACAAACAAACAAAAAAAATAAAAACTCAACAGTGAAGCAATTACAACAATGTCGTAGAGGAGAGGAGTTTGCTGCAATAAAAATTCTCATACCTTATAACCCGAGCTACCATGGACAGGAACATCGGTTATCATAACAGCCAGCAAAACAATTAAAACAACAAATTTATCTTCAAGTTTTTCACTTGTTATTGTTGTTGAGATAAATGCGTCAACCTCTTTCTGCTTGATTGGATCTTTACCAATTAATTTTGGCAAAATGATCTCATTAAACTGTTTAAGAACCTATATGAAAAGAGACAGAGACATTAATAAATCATCTAAAAAGAAAGAATAAGACATTAAAGGAAACGAAACTGACATTACTAAAAAACAAAGCAAAACCTAGGTTAAATCTAAATCGCTGGGAGTTTCGGGAAACACAGCTCTAAACACAATAGGAGGGGGGTTGATTGTACATTCACCTCTAAGGTTTTGATTCCGTCATCTAATCTTACAACCACAGAACTGATAAGATCTCACATAGCCTAAGAGAAACAACAAAGAGAAACTGTTAACAATTAGATTAAACGCAAGTAAAACGAATCAACAATATGAAAATGGGTTTCAAAAATATGTCATACCTTTTGCTATGAATATCGTGTTCTCGTTTAGATTTTGATCGCCAGTGAGTTAAGAAATGTTGGCAACTAGGGTTTTAGTGTCTCTTATCTTGGAACAATGGTTTTTGGTGTTTCTCTATATGGTAGAATACTTTCTGACTTTGATCATGAGTTTAGCTAGAATATTTTATGAATTTGATCTTTATGTTGTAGATAAATGTTGATTCATATCAACATGATGAAAAAACTTAAATAGTTGGCCTATGGTCCCCTGAGTAGTGCAAGGTCATATACAAGTTATAGGAAGAAGAAAATGCTCAAAATTCGTGAACTGATTGTGAAGACATATATGTGTGTTATGTTTTTTGTTTGTTTGTGTGTTGATATGCTTATGTTTGGTATATGATTGTCTGGTTGTTTAATTATTTTGTTCATATGGAGATCTTTGTGTCTCATCTATTTTGCTTTTCTTAATCTTGTTAATTATCACTAAAGTTTCTCATTAATTATTTCAGGTGAATCACAATGGGGAATAAAAAGATGAATAAGACGACTAAGAAGTCCAAAAAATCCAAGAAGACACTTGTTGATGACGATGAGCCGAAATTTTGGGTACGATGTAGAAAGAGTGAATGAAAAAGAGAGAATGAGGAAGAAATAGCGGTTGATGCAAGAGAGATTGATGAAGTGAATGCATCAAAGGAGAATGAGGAAGAAAGAGCGGCTGAACACATAGAGACTAAGGAAGGAAAGCAAAATGAAGAAGGTATTCAAGGTGAAGAGCCTCTTGGTTATATTGAAATGTCAGAGGAGAATCCAGATCAACCTAAGCGTAAGAAACATAGAGGTACAACAAAGATGAAGCATGTAGCTAAAGATCCAAATGTCCATGAAAGAGTTGAATTCAGTGGCATGGGAGAGGCTATCGGTCCTGGCTCAGTAAACTTGTCCTCTTATCTAGGTCCATTAGTGCGGGAACATGTTCCTGTCAACATTGATGACTGGAGAAAAATCAGTGACAAAGTGAGAGCAGTTTTGTAGAAATCTTTACAGGTCATACTTCTTAACATGACCCAGTCAATAATTTAATGCTTGTGTGTTGATGTTAACTCAGTCAATTATATCGGCAAGATGGGATGCCTCTAGAGGTCTTATAAATAAAGACTAGTCACAAAGATAAGATCAAAATTTACTAACCAAGAGAGGATGAACCTGAGACAAAGAATGTTCCACCACCAGTTGGCTAGCTTCTTTTAGGGAGAAATTGGCTAGCTTCTTTTAGGGAGGATGCAGTCGATTTTGAGGCCACTAAATAGAAGGGATTAGGGCGAATTAAATAACCAAATAGGTCAGCAATCGATTGGGCCTTCAAGTGCGTTGATCGGGTGGGCCGTCGAGTGGGCCTTCTGGTCGATTTTCCATATTTCAAGCCTACTCGATTGGGGCTTCTTGTTGGACTTGATCGGGTGGCCTTCAAAAAGATCGTGTGTGTGGATTAGGCTTGATCGGACTAGTTTCTACAAGGCCTTGATAAGACTTAAACACAACACTCGATCATATTGCAACTTCCATTGGATCGAATTCATCCTTAACATCCAAAATTCAAACTTAAACCAACTCTTGAAACACAAACAAACAAACAAAAAGACATTAACATGAAAAATAAAGCACTATGTACAGGGATACCTTTGGTACTACCTCCTAAATGAGCTTGTTTATAATTACTAAGCTTGACTTTGTATGCTTCTCACGCGCTATAGTAACCATAGAGAGGGTCGAAGATCCTCTCTAATTTCAGAGACCGCTATTATATCTCCAATTTGGGTCAGCTATATCAACTTTCAGCACATAATTCCTCCCTAGATCCAAACTCATCAATCCTTTGTTCACATCGATCATTGCTCTTGAAAAGACTAAGGCTTCAAATGGTAAAAGCAGATCAAGAACTGCAGATCATGTGGAACAAATACAGATCATGCAGGACAAATCCAAATCATGATGATTGCGCAGTTTAAATTATACGCATGAATAGTAAAAGCAGATCAAACAGTGCAGATTATATATACATATAAAATATTAAACTGTAAATTATATAAAAAAACATAAAATTCAATAAAATTATTATAAAAAATAATTAGTTTATAAAATAATTAATATTTAATACAGACTATTTTTTTAAATACTTTTACAATTTTAAAACATTAAAACAAATATCCAAATACATCAGAAATAAAACTAACAATATTTTCTATAATATTTGTCATTTGATCTCCATCAGCTATAGCGGTAGTTTCCATGTCACCTTCGTCATTCTCTGAATTTGTGTTGCTAATATATGTATGCTCCATTACTTCAGAATACATATTATGTAGTCCTATTGTATCCATCACCACTCTTTTTTGACCATGTGTGTTATATCTAGGAAACTCACAAAGAATCTTCCATTTCTTCTTCCTAACTCCAAATGTTCTTTTAATAACAGAACGTAGTGATGCATGACAACGATTAAATAGTTCTTGTTTGTTACTAGGAGGAGTACCGTTGTAGAATTGTGACATATGATACCTAACAATCCCATTCCGTGACGATCTATAACGAACAAAAAACCTTGTTTATTTGGATAGCCAGAATCAACCACATAATATTTGTCTCTAGGAGGCCGAGGAAATGCAACATCACCATCTTGCGCCATCGCGAGAACTGCTATATCATGACAAGATGCCAGTGCTCCATTCCAAACAAATGTGAACAGCATATTCAAATTATAGATTGCCATTATATTAGATGAGGTTCTATCATGACGATTCCAATACAGTCCTTGGAGTTCGGGTTTAACTTTAATACATACATGAACTCCATCCATAGCTACAACAAATCCACTAAAATATGGCCAATATCTACGATCCATTTGTAGTCGTTCAGGAATTCGATGCAGTTCTTGTCTTGTTGGAGTCTTGATATAATCACAAGCAAGTAACTCAGTTGCTCTAAGCACTTCAAAAAAAATTCTATTCACTGTCTCTTGCGTCCGTCCAAATCGCAATCCAACATCTCGCTAAACTTCATTGTGCCCACATATTCGTAAAAACATGGCCACTCCCTCTTCAATGGTTCCATTCACTGTAGGTTGTAAACCATAACTCATTTGTAACTTGTCACACTATGATCTAAAACCATCTAGTGACATTCTTAGTAACTGAAGACATGTAGCATTATCTTCTTGGACTCGACCCCATATATTTCTCCATCCCAACCCGTCACCTGTTTGTACTGTGTCTCTTTCAAAATAACGTTTACAGTATGTCAATGATGGTTGAATTATTAACTGTTCAAATTGGGCATTTTCCAAATTCTACAACTAAATTCTCTCGTTGTAGTTTAGATTGTGGACACCTTGTGCCCGTAACTAACATATACGAAAAGGCTGAAATTTTATAAAGACAAGATAGAAACTAAATTAAATTATTGAGATTACATTAACCAATAATACATAAAACATAATGAAAACATAAAATAAGCTTTAACAATAAAGTACAAACTTTATGAAACTAATCATTAGATTCTGAATCACTTTGTTGATTTTTATTTAAAGTTGGTCCTCGTTTATTTCCCCAAATGTTGATTAATCCTCCTCGTCTACGTGGTAATGATGTTTGACCTCTTGAAGGATAATTCGTGAAACCCAATTTTGGTGAAACTACTCTAAAACCGTGATCGAAAGAAAAAACTTCTACTTCATGTGAAGGTCTTTGTTGAGAATTTAAGGTAGTCTCTATCACCAAGTGTAACGCCTACCAAAGAATGGGTAACATCAACAGAAGAAATGAGATGCCTCAGAACCTGATTTTGGAAGTAGAAATTTTTGATGTTTGGGGAATTGATTTCATGGGACCGTTCAACCCTCCATCAAATGGCAACGTTTACATTCTGGTTGCTGTTGATTATGTCTCAAAATGGGTGAAGCCATTACAAGTCCCACCAACGGTCACAAGGTTGTTTTGAAACTGTTCAAAAGCATCATTTTTCCCAGGTATGGAGTACCAAGAGCAGTGATTAGTGATGGCGGTACACATTTCATCAACAAGATTTTTAAAAACATGTTGAAGAAATATGGTGTGAAACATAAGGTGTCTACAGCCTACCATCCCTAGACCTGTGGACAAGTAGAGGTTTCTAACAAGCAGATAAAAGGAATCTTATCAAGAGTTGTTGGGGCTTCGAAGAAAGATTGGTCTACCAAGTTGGATGATACTCTATGCGCATACAGGACAGCTTTCAAGACACCAATAGGAAGGACACATTTTCAGTGTGTGTATGGTAAAGCATGTCATCTCCCTGTGGATATTGAGTATAAGGCGCTTTGGGCTATCAAGCTTCTGAATTTAGATATTGATGCTGCCGAAGCAAAGAGAGTTCTTGACATCTATGAACTTAAGGAAATCAAACTTGAAGCTTTTGAAAGTTCCAAAATCTACAAGGAGAGAACCAAGGCTTTCCATGACAGGAGGATTGTTGTTAAGGAGCTTAAGGCTGGAGATCACGTTTTGTTGTTCAATTCCAGACTTAAATTGTTTCCTGGAAAGCTCAAGTCTACATGGTCTGGACCATTTGAAATCAAAGATGTTTTTTGCCATTTGGTGCGATCACTCTCCTGAACAAGGATGGCAGCGAGTTCACTGTGAACGGTCAACGTGTCGAGCGTTACCTAGCTGAACAAGAGACACCAGAGGGGTCTTCAATGCCTCTCTATGAGCCTCCCAAAGCCTAAAAGGCATAAACAGTCAAACCAGTGACATTAAACAAGCTCACTTGGGAGGAAGTCCCAAAGGTATCCTTGTACATATTGCTTAAGATTTTTTGTGTTTTTAATTTTTGTTTTTGGTTTTGTCTTGTTCAGGACTTCAAAGATATGAGTGCACAGGAGATACAATATCGAACATGGTTCAGTGAATGGCAACGAGAGATTTTTCGTCTTCACTCTCACCACTCGATTCTCGACACTAACCATCCCACCTCTCACTCGCGCACGCCGTCACCACCACTGATCCGGAGAACCGCACGAGCAAGCCCTTACTCGGCCGAAGCTCACATGGCCGGCTCGCATCCTCACTTGACCATCCCGTGGTTTGAAGCTCTCGAGAACCGACACTCACCCACGTGACGGACAAAGCTCCACTCGAACGCGTCATTTACTCGATGTGAGCTTCTTTTCACCTGACCGTCGAAGGATCACTCGACCGCTATCGCCGTTACTCGACAGAGGAACCACCAAAATCATCTCCTCTTCACGCGGTTTCAGTTCTTCGTCATCACCACTCGACCAACCCGTCCTCCAAAGCTCACTTGACCCACTCGCTTCAGTCGACGGTAGACACTGCAAGAGTTTGGTAGAGGCTCACAAGCGTATCAGTACACTATAGAAGTGGAACATGCTGCAAGACAAGGCCATAAGATCTATGAAGTCGAAGATGAAGAACTTCATGAGTAAGTTTAGCTGCGCCTCCACCACCACAACATTTGCAGACACTACTCCGCAAGATGCTAGACCAGTTCAACGCCGTTTCTCCATGAGTGATGTGCCACCACGCTACAGAACTCCTTCTCCATCACGTCATTCAGCCTATGAGTATAGAGAGTAGAATGTTTCTTCTTCTCTTCCGAGACAGTCCTTCCCTGAGCTTAGGGCTAGCAAGAAGAAGGAGAAAAGGAAAAAGAAGAAGGCAGCGAGACGGAAGGCAAAAACTAGTTCATCAAACTTGCCAGACGAGCATCATGTCGAGGATTTGACCATGGATCAAGCCGAGGATCACATTGAGGACCTGACTGTTGATCTAGGTGCGTATCATTTCCAAGACCTCACTGAGGATCCGGTCGAGCTGAACGTTGAGCAACCAGCAGAGGCTCCTCCTGCACAGCCTGCACCAGGTGCTTATACAAGCGAGTCCATGACTCAATACCTGAACTGTTATTTTCTGTAAGGTACCACTCCAAACCTTCATCTGTATATACCATTGCATTTTCATACTTTTGTTTGTTTGATTCTCAAACCAACTCTCAAATTTTTATGACAGAAGGGACTGTGTAATTTAAGTTTGGGGGAGGGTTTGGGATGATATTTGATGTTGTGTTCTTTTTTCTTATTTCGAATTTTTAGCATATAATCTGCATTCATATATGTGCATTGAAAACCTCAAAAAATTTGATTTTTTTTTCAGAAAAAGCTTTAAAAAACAGAGTGATCATGTAGCTTGCATTTGCATATTAGGATTGAGTCTAGATTGTTTCATGTAGGACTGTTGCATTAGCATGGGGGGGCGATGATGATTTACACCTTGCTGACTTGCTGTGATTCACTAGTTGAGATCAATGCCCTGGTTGTTAGCTCTTTGATGCATGATGATTGAACTTGAAGTAAGCCTGAAACAAATTTTGAATTCATGAAGAGCATTCTTGAACTTGGTTGAAGCATTTTGTGATAAGGGGCTGACCCAAGAAAATAATTTAATGGGGGCAAAATGTAGTTAGGTAGGATCGAACATGGCACCTCTACATTTTATAGAATGCAAACTTAACCATTATGCCACTTAAATAACATTGGTCAGTAATAAGTTTTCTCTCTTTTATATGTTACTGGGGGCAAGTGCCACCACCATCTACAACGTGAGTCCGCCCCTGGTTGTGATCTGATCTCATTCCTTACCTTATAAGAACTTAATCTTGACTCGCAATTATCTGGTTGTGTTTTGCTTGCATACTCATGATCACCAAATACATATTTGGATCATCTTCTTCCTTTCACCACTCTAGTTGATCCAAGTAGCTGATCTTTCTTTTGATCAGTTTGCCATACCCACAACCTATCCTTTACTTTCAAGCCAATTGATAATTTTTGAGTGGTAGGTCTTTTACCGGATTATATTTGAGGAGAACGTGTTAGGTATGAGCCGACAGGATTAAAATCTTGAGTAGTTTTTACTTTCACTTTCAAATCAGATAGGACTAGGTCGGGATTCTTACTTGGGTTTGGGATTGGGATGATTGTGGAAAGAAAGAAGAGAAACAAAAAAATAAAAAGGTTGTGTCCTTAGGAGGAGAATGTTTTTCAAGAAGTTTATACTCTAGTGATTGATTTTTGTGGGGATAGCATGATATACAGAGAATGGTTCTGGGATGTAATGAAAGAAAAAAAATTTGATGTCTTAAAAAGTAAGAAGAAAACAGAATCATAGTAAGGAAGAAACCCCCTATCCACTAATATTGATAAGAAACTTCTCTTAATGCAAAAAGAAAAAAATGGGAATGATGTTGAAGGGTAGACATAGGGATCATTCGGGTTTAGATGAATAGGAGTAAGCACTTGGGAACCATTGGGTAGTCAAGGTTTTACTCCTGTATGCATTTGTTGGTCCTCACCTTTAGCATTCTCCCTAAAGCTTAATCCATTCATTGAGAGATCCTTGTCCTGAAACTGTTTAAACCCTCTTGATTCCCAAAACCTTTTTCTGCCTAGCCGAGTGCGTTTGTTAAGCATTGCACAACCATATTTATATTCTAGAGTAATGAAAGTTAAAAGGAATGAATGATTTGAATGCATGTGTAGATCGAGGGATATAATCAGTTTCGGATTTGATGAGTTTGTCCAAAGTCTTGAAGTAAAGTTCTCTCAGCATGCATCAAAGACTTAATAACTAGGACATTGATTTTAACTGCTCTATCTTGCAAGTTACAGGTTCTGGGACCCCATTTTCAAACCTCTCTTCCACTTTGTTTCTTTTTGCTTTGCTTGAGGGCAAGCAAAGACCAAGTTTGGGGGATTTGATAAATCTGTATTTCATCACTTTTTGAGCATGTATTCATCATCTTTTCAGCATCATTCATTTGTTGATTCGCTTCATATTGATCACTTTCTACATGTTTTACATACTTAGGTAGGTTTTATGCATATCATGCATGTCTTGCATACATTCTGCATATTTGGAGAGTTTCAGGTACTTAGGAGACATGCAGGGCGAAGCAGAGGAACAAGCGTTACTCGACATGCATATGATCGCGTGGACTATTGAGTGAGAAGCACAGATACGTTACAGAAACATACTTCACTTGATGCACATGACTACATGCATGTTTTCTACATGTTTCATCAATGAGCTGTTCCTTCATGCATGTTTTCTACATGTTTCATCAATGAGAATTGAGATTAGGAAGTGTTGTAAACTTGATAGTTTCTGCCAAGAGATTGGATTAACTAGTATTAGAAGTTCATTGTTTAGGCATTAGTATGTTTGTTGTTTGTTAAACACTCTAAGTAGATTAGCATACTCCACCTACATCAATAACCTCATCCTCATGATCTTCTATCCATTTGAACTTTGTGTTTTATTCACTTGCTATTTACTTGTCCTGTTCTATCTTCTTGCTAGTATTATTAATCATTACGTTTTAGCTTATGCACGGTAGTCTATGTTTTGCAACCTTACATTTATCGCATGTTTAACATGTTCGCCTAGGATCATTGAAAACCAAAATTATTTATACTTCGCTTGACTTAATCATTTTTGATACATCTTGATTGCTAGCATCACACCTGATTGGACTGATACTTATTGTATTGCAATGACATGATAGTACTCTAGGGTAATTGATAGAAAAATCCTAGTATCATGTACTATCACCTTAGACCCAACAAAGTAAGATTTAAACTTTTAAAAAGCAAAGACTATGGCAAGAAGCTCATTTTCGGTTGTGGCATACGTAACTTGAGTGTCATCTAAACTTCTACTAGCGTAATACATGACATGAACCTTCTTATCCTTTCTTTGGCCCAAAACAGCTCCAACCGCATAGTCACTAGCATCACAATAATCACAAACTGTAGGTTCCAATCCGGTGCTTGAATAATAGGAGCACTAATCAACTCACTCTTGATCTTTTCAAAGGCCTTAAGACACTCCTCATTGAACTCAAAAGCGGTTTCCTAGCACAACAACCTTGTAAGTGGGCTCGCAATCTTTGAGTAGTCTTTGATGAACCGTCTATAGAACCTGACATGATCTAAAATGCTTATAATACCCTTAACCGAAGTTGGACGAGCGAGGTTAGTCATCACGTCTATCTTCGCCTTGTTGATACACTCCATATTTACAGCTTTATTAAGTGTATTAATATCATGATAAGCTTTATTACATGATCATGAGTGAGCAGTCTTTAAGAGTTCTTAGGTTTGGTAGATTAGGATGATTTAGTAGTTGGTTTATGGAATTTAGGACTAGATTGTTTAGGATCCTTGCTTATAGGTTGCTAATAAGGCTATTAATTAATGTATTTATTTTTTTGTATGCTTTTTATTTTTATATTTGCTTCTATGTAATGATTTTTAAAAGTCATGTCACTTTAAAAAGTAAAAATCAATAATTTTAAATATTTTTTTATATATAAAATAATTTTTAAAAAAAATTATTGTAGTGTTTAAAATTTTAAAAAATTAAAAAGTCATGTTTTGTTATAGTCTAGAGAGAATAGAGAGGGAACTGGGATGCTTTATTCATTAGCTTAGAGCCATATATATAGAGGTTCATACAAGAGGTTATGAGTAAACCCTAATACAAATAGAAAAAGGTTAAACCTCCATAACATTGGGCCGGACCGGGCTTGACATGGGCCGGGCCTTACTGGGCTTGTTATGACAATCCACTATGATTTATAACAGTCCCCCTTGGATGTCATAACCGTCGTGAGCAAGTAATACGCTTGAGGATGTTTCCTCATTAAAACCTTACCAGGAAAACCCATTGGGATAAAACCGTGGTGAAAGAAAAAGAGTACAACACGTATTACTCCCCCTCATTTGAAGCTCACTGAAGATCTTTCAACCGGCGCATTCCAATTTGCTTTATAAGCTTCTTTAACGTAGTGGTTGGAAGCGACTTGGTGAATAGATCCACCGAGTTGTCACATGATTGAACTTGTTCGACTTGAACCTCTCTGGCTTTCTGTAACTCATGAGTGAAGAAGAACTTTGGCAAGATGTGCTTTGTCCTATCTCCTTTATGCATCCATCTTTGAGCTGAGCTATGCAGGCAGCATTGTCTTCATACATTGTTGTTGGTGCTGCCTTCCCTTCAGTCATCCCACAATCGATCATATTATGTTGAGTCATGGACCTCAACCAAACGCATTCACGGCTGGCCTCATGCATCGCCAAGATTTTAGAATGGTTGGACGATGTTGCTGCGATCGTTGGCTTTTGAGATCGCCAAGATATTGTCGTTCCACCGTGTGTGAAAACGTAGCCAGTTTGTGATCGACCATTGTGCGGATCCGAGAGATAACCTGCATCAGCAAAACCAACTAATCCCTCCTTGGGATGGTTAGTGTAAAATAAACTCAAATCTTTCGTACCTTGTAGATATCGAAGAATATGTTTAATCCCGTTCCAGTGCCTTTGGGTTGGACATGAGCTAAAACAAGATAATAGATTCACGGCAAAACATATATCTGGCCTAGTGTGGCTCGCCTGATACATTAAAGCTCTTATGACACTGAGTATGGCTTTATGGACTGAATGGATCACTATCCAATCGTAGGTTTCTCACCACCATTGGGCCTGGTCAATGGGCGGGCCTAGTACTTATTAATTTCCTTGAGTAATCTTTCAATATATGCCATTTGATGCACAAGGATTCCATTATTCATGTACTCAAATTGTAATTTCAAACAGGACTTAATTATTGTCTAGGTCTTTCAACTGTTTGGTCGATTACCCAGAGGTTCATATACACTGCTTATGATTACAAATTCTTTGTTTGCAAACCTCTTTATGAATATACATGGACTGATGGAATCATTTATAACCTTACATATGCCCATTTATTCTACCATGAAAGGATTTGTCCAGCCTTATGCAGTGATGTTCTCGAGAACCTTTCTTATATTTGAGCTCAATACTCTTTTGTAATCTCATATATTATCCAGTGGACTTATATATATGCAAGCATTACATCCATTAGCCGCAAATCAAGTCTTTTCTTTTATATAGCCAGACTTAGCATTCACCACAGGGGAGCATATCTCCTCATATATATTCATGGTATCTTTGAGAATCCTTGTGCAATATGTCGTGCTTTATATCTTACGATTTCACCATATTTATTTCTTTTCCTCACAAAGACCCGTTTATGTCCAACTGGCTTTATATCGAGAGGTGTCCTTATACATTCCTCTTCTTTTATGAATTCAACTCCACATATTTAATCCAATCTGATCATTGAGTGCACTCATTATGGACGTGGATTATAGATCCTCGCTTATCAATTTCATTTCAAGTGCTACCTTGTATGCAAATATATCGTCGACGTCGACATCTTTTTTAGTTCCATTTTATCCCGGACATAACATCAATGATCGCGATCTCATTATTATCATGAACTTCATCAGTACCTTGAAACTTGGCGTCCCAAGCCTAATTGTTAGGTGACTGAGGTTCGGTTATGTCTCGGGTAACCACGGTTTCTCAACCTCGGATTCATTATTAGCACCTTTCTTTATTTTCCAAGGGATCTTATTTTTGGAACTTATTGGTCTGCCTCGTTTCATACGGGCTTTAGACTCTGTAGGTGCATTCATAGCTGGTATATGTGACTTAATCACTCTATTCGAGTCAAAGGAATCTGGCAATTAGCTAGCTTTTGTATTAGCTTTGGACGTCTAATTCATTGTTCATAGTCCGAGGATCTTGCCATTGTAAGGATGATTGATTCCATATAATAACCTTTACCAGCTTATTATTATTATCTCCCCCCCCCCTCACTCATAGTGGGTAATTGGATCCGTCAAAATGACAATCCGCGTACTTGGCCTTGAATAAATCAACCGTGGTCGGCTCAAGCTACTTATTTATTATGGGAGATTCATATCCAGCATAAATCCCCATCATCCTCTGAGGACCCATCTTAGTTCGCTATGGTGGAGCAACTAATATATATACGGCACATCCGAATATCTTAAGATGGGATATGTCTGGCTTATGACCCGTTAATAAATGTTTTGGGGAATATGTATGTTCACTAGATGGCCTGATGCGAATTATTCAGCTGCATGTAAGACAACATGTCCCCAAGCTGAGATCGGGAATTTTGATCTTATTAGCAATGGTCTGGCAATTAGCTGTATGCATTTTATAAATAATTCAGCCAGACCGTTTGTGTATGTCCATCTGCCACAAAATGTTTTACTCTTACCCCCATGGACATACACTAAGCATTAAAAGCTTGGGATGTAAATTCACCAGCATTATCTAGACGTATAGTCTTTAATCACTTTGACTGGTGATGGCCTTATAATGAGTTCCCCTTGTGAACATGCTACACACGTGAGATTCTTTGGGATAACTCTTAATTCTTTCAATGTGTGCCCATTATTATTTTTCGCATCATACTCGACCCGAGATGGCCAAGCCGGTCGTGCCATATAGTGAATCTCTCGGTAAACTCTTTGTTTACCGTGGCATTAGATTATATCATACTGGCCTTAGCACAGTAAATGCATGTTGATATAGCGGGTATTGTCTCAAGGACTTTCTTATGGCCTTGGGCAATTTCATAAATCATAAGGAACTCTCTGTTTCCTTCGCCCTTGGTTTCAATATGAAAATTATTCATTCTAATATCTTTGAGAGATAATAGGCTCCTCTTTGAGCTGAGTGAATATAACGCATTAAAAATCTCTAAAAGCATACCCATGGGCAATAATATATAGGTCTGGCCATAACCTTCAATTAAATTAGCCATACCCGCTATGGTACTTATATTGGCTTTTTTATGTGTAAGATCGTGTGGCTTGCCCCACTATCCACCACAAACTATATCTTAAACACTTTTATAAAAATATTCTCATATTTTATTAAAACCAAAATAATAGAGATAGATCCATAGTAATTATTGAGAATACACCAAATAATTATAGAGAATTATAAAGCTTAACAAAGCTTGATGTCGAAACACTTAGTTTTATTCAAGGCAATCGGAAGTCTCCATGAGATCATCCTTGGCATGATCGAAATCATCCTCATTATCATAATGCACCAATTGAGCTTTCGGATTCTTCCCTTTGACACACTCTTGATAGAGGTCAATAAAATGTTTGGGAGTCCGACAATTCTTAGCCCAATGGTTCCCCATCCCACATCTATGGCAAACTGATTTTCCGGTCGGGTTTTGCGGTTTGAAAGACGTACCACGACTACGGCCTTTTCCGCCGTGATACCCGTGGCCTCGATCTTGTCCACGACCGGAGGAGTGACTACGGTCACGTCCTTGCCATTCACCACGTCCACGGCCGGATGTATTATTATATCTTTGGACATGGTTAGCCTCTTTGGCTTCTTTCTTATCCGATGCAACATCATTAATTTCAGGGAGTAGGGCTGTACCCGGAGGTCTCAACTCGTTATTTCTCATTAGCAATTCATTATTTTGCTCGGCGAGCAATAAACATGAGATCAGACTTGCATATGTCTGAAAGCCCTTTTCACGATATTGTTGTTGTAACAATACGTTACTTGTGTGGAAGGTGGAGAAGGTTTTCTCAAGAATATCCTTCTCACTTATCTCTTCTCCACACGGTTTCAAGATAGATACTATCTTAAGCATGGCCGAGTTATATTCATCCACAGATTTAAAATCCTGGATCCTGAGATTCCTCCAATCATACATGGCCTTTGGTAATAACACCATATGTTGGTGATCAGAACGATTTTTTAATTCGTTCCAAAGGTCCAAGGGATTCTCAATAGTCAAGTACTGATCCTTGAGACTCTCCGCAAGGTGATGGCGAATAATTAATATTGCCTTATATTTATTCATATCGGGCTCGTCATTGCCATCAACAATACATTCACCGAGCCCCTTTGATTTTAGGATGATCTTAGCATCCAACGCCCATTGCAAATAATTATCTCCCGAGAGATTAAGGGCGGTAAAATGCAAGTTGTTCAGTTTTGACATCTGAAAAGAAGGACAAATGCTTATGTTTAGGTTTCATTATAAACCTTTTATTACCATTGCCCGTTCCAATTGCTCGGTGGAGAGGTAGTCCGCGCATCAGTTCAGACGAGTATAAACTCGCTGACCCGCGTCCCCTTTTCTCCGAACAATCATCCCGGACAATGTCTATGCACTGTCTTATAATTCTCATATCTTGTATCTCATGATCCCATATCCCATGGTTTTATAATCTCATACGTGCAAATGACATTCATATATATCAAGCATTCATGCTATTTTAAACAAGCATCCTAGCATGCGATTTCTATAAGATCAAACACCCATCATGCAATTCAAGCATATAATTTCATGATTTTAAGACTTCAAAATTTATCATGCAGTACTAGGTGCTCAAGCATTGATCGATTTTATTTTAGAGAAATATTAAGGTGATCATGCATTCATATTCGATTTTCATGTTAATCATATATTAGGATTTCATAAATTCATATTAATATAAACAAGCAATAATCCATATGAGAAACAAGTTTATAATCGATTTTAGGGTTACATGAAAAGCAGTTCAAAAAACAATCTCATATTTTACAGTTTCAAAATATCGCATGAAAACAGTCCAAACAACAATCACATATTTTAGGGTTTCATATTTGCATGTGAAAAGTACTTTAAACAACAATCTCATATTCATGGGGTTTTATAAAATCATACGAAAGTACTTCAAACAACAATCAAATGTTCAAGATTTCATGGTTTTAAGTTCATAAACATGAAACAATGGTTTTAGCCTTTTAGGGTTCATGTTGTTTACCTCTTGAACACCGATCGGATTCTGAATGGTATGGACCGGGAGCTAAAGACTTCGGTAACTCAAGATTCTTGCAACGAACTGCGATGAACAGTACCGTCAGTGCCGGCGATGAACAGTATCTCGATGAACAGTACCAAGATGAACAGTACCGCCGAGATCTTTTAGGTTTAAGGTTTAGGGGCGATTTTAGCTTTTTGCTTTTAGGGTTTAGAGAATCGTGCTGATAACGTGTTATAGACTAGAGAGAATAGAGAGGGAACTGGGATGCTTTATTCATTAGCTTAGAGCCATATATATAGAGGTTCATACAAGAGGTTATGAGTAAACCCTAATACAAATAGGAAAAGGTTAAACCTCCATAACATTGGGCCGGACCGGACTTGACATGGGTCGGGCCTTACTGGGCTTGTTATGACAATCGACTATGATTTATAACATGTTTAGGTTTCTTGAAGAAAAAGAAAGGTAGGTTTTTTATTTTTCTTCATCTACTTCTAGGGTTTAGGTTTTCTTTTGTTTTTGTGATTTTTGGTATCCTCTGATTAAGTTCTGAATCATGTCGAACATATTCGGAAGGTGAAAGCTCTGTCTCTGTTGAACCTGGCTCTGTTCCTGAGGGTTTCTTGAAGAAGATGGAGATAGCTTGGATTATTTTTTTAGACCCTACGATAAATTTTTTCTTACCATTGTAGCACAATAAATTTAAAAACCCCATCACCATCATCTTTTCTTCTCAAAATTTTCAAAATTTATACTATAGATATTAGAAATTTTCACAATGGGTCTCTCCCAATGTAGATGGTCTAATGTTCCAAACAATAGCTAAAACAAGAGCTAAACCTTGTCGTTCTCAATACTTTCAAGATTTCAAAATCTATAACATTATCAAGAAGAGGCTTCACTCGCAAATCAATTTATGGGATGAAAAGAAAGGCTAGGTAAAGGGTAGGGAGAGTTTCGAATCAATCAAAAGAGGGGTGAAAAGGTACATGACTTGATTAAGAAGAAAATACCATGAGAATGTATTCAAATACCATAAGCGAGAAGATTAGATTCAAATTAAGCTCAAATTCATAGAGAAGTTTCAAAGACCATGCAAGTTTCACAGAAGAAGAGATTGCTTTCAAAGATTACAAATGTCTAAACATGAATTTTCATTTCTTTCCTAGAAGATTTAGTAACATTGAACTATGACAGAGGGCTTTCATTACAATTTTAAGGTTGAATTTCTACAAGGCAATTTAATCATCACCCCCAATGCATATGCAAATGCAATCTATATGCTACTAGACTCAATCCTAGAGAAAAAAATGAAAGTACAAATCTACATGCATTTTTTTGGATTTTTCAATTTTTTTTTTCTCAAAACAGAGCTATTCACAATGCAAGACTCAAGAGAATGAAAATCAAAACAAAACACAACATTAGATGGTTAGTCTCTCCCCTAAACTTAATTCACACCGTCTCGGTGTGAAAGAAATCCGAGAAAAAGACTAACAAAAAACAAAACAAAACGCAAAAATAGAAGAAGAGAAATACTTACAAAGGTACGGAGGGCACCTTAGTAGCGAGATGTGGAGTCCAAAGACTCCGTAGGGCTGAATGAATATGGAGGGTTGCTTGAACTTGGAGTCGGCGAGCGAATTGCTCTTCGTTTTCTTCTTTGCCCGCGTTCATAAGAGGAAGGTCGTGGTGGGTGATGATGCTGCATAAATGAGCTTGAGGGTTCATGGTGAGAGTGTCTTCTATCCAAATCCATTTCATCGCCATCATTCCTATGTCCCTCTTCCGTGTCCACAACATCTTCTTCTTCACAGTTCAGAGATTTGGCTTTGAGTTGCTTCATTTCTCCTTCTAAACTTACCAGTCGCTTAACTAGCTTCTTAATTGATCGCCCTTGCCATTTGACAAATCTTTGTAGGAGGTGGATGCTATTGTGAGTATGGCGGAAGGCATATACTTTTAATGGGACCAGCATTTGGCCAAAACTCGTAACGTTTACTACCGATGATTCTAGGTGCGGGTAAAGCATCTCATGAAGGACCCATTTTTATTTGATTGGTGCTTGTGAAAGTGCTAGTCTCATCCTTGCTAGCTACTTCTTGGTTAGTCACCTTTTCAACCTCTACCATACTTACTTCATGGCTTTGTCTCAACTCAAGGAACTTTGCTTCACCATTTGAAGGCTTATGTGAGTCTAGAATCTTCTCATAGCCTTCATTATCACTTTCAAGCAACCTAAATTTTCCTTGTTTAACCACCAAAGTGCTTTGAAGAGCATCCTCTATTACCAACTCTTCTAGTAGCTCATAGCCCTGGGCGTTCGGGGGCCCGTTCGGGCTCGGGCCGGGCTTCTCGGGTTTTCGGGTTTTCGGGTTTAGACCTCTAAAGCCCATTCGGGTATATATAATTGTTCGGGCGGGCTCGGGTTCGGTTCGGGCTTTTTCGGGTTCGGGTTCGGTTTTGTATCGAGTTCTTAATAACCGTAGTAACCAATAAAATCTAAAACAAAAAAAGAAATTATAAGATGGAAAAGTCCAAGTTGTTCCCTATTGAGACAAACTGTAAACTTAATTAGCAAAACTGATGCAGGCCGAGTCAAAAATTCTAAGACAGTAGATGAAAAACAATCCTTGGTGGAAAATATATTTAAATAGAACGTCATGATACCTATATAGAATGGGAGCATTAGGCAATACAGAAATGCCAACATCACTAAGAAAATCAGCAACATCACGAACAATAAACAATATTGTTAAAATAAAACAATCAAAAGATGTTAAGTTACCAGAAACACGAGATATGCAAAATATATATCCCTCCCACAATGCCTTAAAAACTCTAAGATCTAACTAGAATATTCTCCAATAAAATAAAGGGAGATAAGAAATTGCAGAGAGGTAACAAAGAACCACAAGATCAAAGACATCTTTTTGAATCCTACCAATCATTCTTGCTACTCAAACGCTATAAAGTCAGATAATTGTGACTGCAATTTTTTTTATCTCTAAACATGTGCACGGCACTGTCAGTTTTGATAAGGCTTGTCTAATTCTATTTGACATAGAGCTTACAAACATTGTATCGAAGTAATCTACAATCTAGATAATCTACTGTAACAGATAATTGCTAGTGTGGGAATGGACAAAAAGCTTTACACTTATGATTCTGGCTCCAGAAGATCTTCGTCCTGCATTTCTTATGAGGCACCTTTCTCCTCTCTGGCGTTTGGAGATAATGGTTTCATTCTGGCAGCTGGAACCAGTAATGGTAGAGTAGTGTTCTACGACGTCCGTGGAAAACAAACTCCACAGTCCACACTTCCAAAACGCTAGACATAGCTATTCCTCCTCAACGGCACAAACAAAAAGCAGAACGAGAGAAGGAACAATCACGGCCTACACAAAAACAACGGCCTAAACAGAGCTAATTAGCTATTCCTCCAAACGCGCTATAGAGAGAGACGTAACGAGAGAGAGAGAGACAAACAAGAAAGTCACTTGAGAATAAGTTCTGGAAAATTCAGAGGGAGGATGAAACTGAGAGGTTTGGATAATTGGTGAATCCAGTTTGTTTTTGGGATGAATAAAGATCTAGAGTTTTGAAGGGAAAATTCGAAATTGGGTATGGAAGCTTGCTAACTGCAGATTGATGAATTTTTTTTGGGAATGAAATCGATTGGAATTGACATTGTCACATAGATTTGGGCATTTAGGAATGAAATCGGGTTTTCGGGTTTACCCGAACCCGAACCCTAACCCGGAATTTTCAAAAACAAAACCCGATCGGGTATCTCCTTGAATCGGGTTCGGGTTTGGTACGGGCCTATCGGGCCGGGTTCGGATTTAGGCTTCGGTTACGGGATTTTTGCCCAGGACTAGTAGCTCATCCGCTAAAGCCT